TTTTTTTTAAGTGAACCATAACTATGTCTGTCTAGTCAATTTATGGCTGCTTATAAGAGGGTTGTATGTAGCCTTTGAAAACATTTGAAAAGAAATCTCCCTCTGGTCAGATCAGTTGTCATACACACTCAGCCAAGAGTTTTGATCATCTATTATTGAGAGATGCTTTGTTCCCTATAATCGCAGTAGCTCAAATGTTTGCCTGATATTGGACACCATCTCTTAAAGAATCCTAGAGAATAGCCGTTTCCACAATTGTGTCACACAGCACAAGCAAGAGAATGTAAAAATAAATAAATAAAAAGAGAGTTCTTATAATAGCATGGTCGATAGTAGCTTCTGAATATGTATGAGATTCAAAAGATTAAAAACAACTGTCAGGTAATAATACTTGTGTATATAGTTCCCTATTATGGCAACAATATTAGTAACAAAGACCAAAATGATTTAAGGACAGGGCAAAAAAAAAAAAAGAAAAGATTACCACATTTATTTTTTGTGGCCTGATTTAAATTTTTTAACATATTTGAAAAAAAAGAAAATAGACCACCACTGTTGAGTAATTTTACTTAATTTAAAACTTAAATATTTAATAATAACTACCTAAAAATAATTACATGCTGACCAATTTAATAACTATAAAAGTTTTTTTAATGTTTTTTGTCACTTTTTTTTTATTCAACATTCTAATATAGACCTTTTTGTAATGGAGAAAGAATACAATAACGGACTTTTCTTAAAAAAAGTTGTGGAAGGAATGTCTTCTGGAATTTCTTTGTAAGCATGTGAGCATCTGTCAGTATCTTTCTCCTACTCTCACGTATCAACACCTTTTGTCACCCCTGCAGTGAAGCCTCTCACCTTTCCACAGTCTGTTCAGCAGCTGCCCATAAGAATGGGTGCATAACTATATGGTGTGCCGTCAAATAAATTATTCACTAGAGCCCTAGAATGTTTTTGCATGCTTGTGTGTATGTGTGTTTGTGTCAGAGAGACTGTGTAGGTGTTTGAGTCCGGTCACAGGATCAATCAATGGAGTGATTGGGACTAGCAGAAATACTCTCGAGACCTCCTCAATGCTTCATATGTACCTGAGAAGACGGGTGAGTTATTCGGTGTTACACTAATGCAAGACTGCATTACTTTTTTTGTAAATATGTTTGAATTTGTTCTGAAAAAGGAACATGTTGAACTTAGATGGTATTTGAGTACTTGTGTGTATTATGTTAAACCTCTTATGGTACAAATTTAATGGTGCTTGATCTGTCTATATCTAAAGTCCCATCTCTGATCCAGCCGGCATTATTGAGAGTGATGAGCTAAATGCCTGAAACCCAGTCCTAATGGTGACCATTAGGTCAGGTACACCTTGCACTTTAGTTGAAAGACATGACATATGATCTCTACCCATGGTAGTTTAGGTTGCTGATATGCATCAGTTTCACTAGACCTGCACAAAGGTTAAAAATTTTTGAAAGTTTGCAGACAGAAGGATTAGCATTTTTATTGACATTAAGGTTTGAATAATTTCCTGAGACATGTTTTTGAGGTCTTTTAATCTTTGAAAATGTTTTATTATTCTTAGGTCATCAAAGAAATGTTCTGACATTGGAGAAAAAATTCAGAAACAGGACCTGTGAGGTTACTTTGACTTAGAATCATGCCTCCAGCCAAATCCCCTTCCAGGGCTAGAGGAGGGAAGCAGAAAGCGGTGACAGGAAAGACAAAAAAAGAACCAGTTCCCCCCAAAAAAGGAGGAAAGACTGAATCTCAAATACTCTCATATAATAATGAAAGTGGAAATGGAAAAGGTGGTAAATTTGTAAAGAAGGAAGAGATAGCTGGGAAAGGGAAGAACAAAAAAGATGAGGAGAAGAAAACTGGCAAGAGTGACCAGTCCGAGGAACCTCAAGAGGAAGAGATAGAGACCTCTAGGCAAATAGCCAAAGCAAGAAAGCAAAATGGCAAAGCCTTACCTGCTAAGGTGACCAATGGCATTACAGGTAGAGGGAGAGCTGGGAAAGCTGTCAAATCAAAACCTGACCAGAAAAAAAATCCAGCCAAAACTCCTGCAAAAGTTGCGAGAAAGAGAGGTACTAAAGTAGTAGATACAGAAGAGGACGAGTCGGAGAGCGAGAAAGCAGAGAGCTCAGAACAAGAGAGTGATGAAGAAGGAAAGGATGATAAGAAGGAGGGGTCAGATTGCGTGGCGAACACCGCTGAGACAGATGCAAGTGTATTAAGTGATGAAGAAGAACTGTCGGATGTAGGCAAAAAAACAGAAGGGGAGGAAGAAGAAGATGTAGGCAAAAAAACAGAAGGGGAGGAAGAAGAAGAGAAGAAAAGTGAGAGAGAGGAAAGCAGAACCAATGAAGAGAAGGAACCCATTAGCAGTGCAGAAGAAGTAGACTCTGAGGGAGTACTGAGCGATACAGGGCAAGAGAGCACACAGGGAGAGACAGCCCGTTCGTCAAACAAACCAGGACCGCTAAACCTAACAGTTCACCTCAAGGGCCAGAAAAAGATGTTAAAATCTAAGATACTACAGAAGAAGGGGCCTTCTAGAGGAGAGGAGCCTAAAGATGATTCTGTGCCCTCAAAAGGAGTCCATATTAAAGGAATGGCTCTCTCCAAAGGTGGCGCCACTAAAGGTAAGTCTCAAATTCTACAGTTGGCAAGTAAAACAAAGGCAATGAGCAAGACAGAGGAAGATCAGGCAGCAACCCCAACAAAAGGCCCCAAAGGTTTGTTGAACAGACAGTCTCGTATGCTGTTTTCGATGAAAGGCAAAGGAAAAGATGATAAAAGCAAGAACGCCAAAGAGCAACCTCCAAAAGACACCAAAGATGCCGTCGAAGAGCCAAATCAAGATCCGTTTGAGAAAATAGTGGCAGACACAACTGAGCCTGAGCCTGAAGAATTAATACCCTCAAAGTCAACAGAGCGTTTATTAGCCCGGAAAAGAGGCATGACGACATTGTGGCGTGTCTCAGGATGGATTCAAAAGAAGATGCCAAAGAGCATCCATGTTCGGAGAAAATTATCAGCGGTCACCCAAGCGATTGGGATCTCAAAATGGCTCCCTGCCTTGGTACTTAAGAAGAGGAGTAGCAGCACCAAGTCAAAGAAGAGTCTTAGCCGACACAAGATGGTTATGAAAATGGCAAGTGGTGGAAAATCAAAGAAGGAAGTATCAACCTCAAAGGAAAAGGCAGATGAGGAAACTACTGCTGATCCCCAGGGTGACTCTTCTGATGAACCTTGTTCCTCTCCACAAGACGTAGAAGAAAAGGCCAACTCAGGAGATGCTAAATATGCGATCGTGTTCCCAAGGATGAACAAAATCGGCAAGGTTAATGAAGCCACCGTTCCATCTACTAGCACCAGCACAGGCACAACAGAGCGTAAACCACCAAAGCCTGGTGCTCGTCTGGTTCTTCCAGTCAAGCCAGACCTTAGCCTACTAAAGTCCATTAAGAAAAATGCTCAGGAGAGCCAAAGTGATAAGAATGGCAGCCCAAACTCTCAAGTGATTGCGGGGCAGCCTGAGGTCAAAGCAGACAAAAAAGAGTCAATATCAGTCATCAAAGATGGTACAAGTATACTACAAGTCGCCAAGGGAAAACTTGGGGGATCGCAAGTAAACATCACCAAGTTGTCTATGTCTAAACCTTTGCTTAATGGTTTAAGTACGGGACAGAGCAAAGAAGTGGAGAGGAATCTAAGGAATTCAGATGTATCAGCAGAAGCCGAGACATGGATGGATGGAGTGATGCAACCTTCTTATGAGGAGGATGCAGACAGAGAAGTGGCAGAACTGATGGGTGAGGGTCTTTTGCCCTCCGTTATGGAGCAACACTGGGCTCAGACTCAACAAATGTGTGGTGATCCTCAAGACTGGCTACGTTCTGAAAACCTCCTGCCCCATCAAACGGTGGAAAAGCTTACTAAATGGACGGTGTATCAAGATGATGAACATGCCCAAATCATTCCAGTCCATAATGGCAGGGGCCCATGGGAATCTGAAGATCCGACCCAAAATATGCTAGAGGAGAGACTTAACAGCACACAGGTATGACAAATGCAGAATAATTTACACAGTTAGTGCCGTTGTCCTCTTTTGTAATTATGCAAATAACCTCATTGACATCTACAGTGTTGTTTGATTCAAAACAGGAAGTCCTAGCTGGGAAATAGTGTAGGTGGTGTTATTCACATGTCTGCCCACTGGGGGTTTTCAGTGACAGCTCTGCTCTGTTTCCTTTACTTTGTGTCTCAGGTAATGATGCCAGGAAGCAGCCAAGCTGTGGAGGTGGACGAGGTGGAAGATTTGGCACAGCTGGAGTGAGTCATCGCAGCACACTTGCTTGTGTCGGGGGAAGTCGTGGCCTACTGGTTAGAGAGTCGGACTCGTAACCCAAAGTTTGCGGGTTCGAGTCTCGTACCGGCAGGGATTGTAGGTGGGGGGAGTGAATGTACAGCGCTCTCTCACACCTTCAGTACCACGACTGAGGTGCCCTTGAGCAAGGCACCGAACCCCCAACTGCTCCCCGGGCGCCGCAGCAGAAAAAAAATGGCTGCCCACTGCTACGGGTGTGTGTTCACGGTGTGTGTGTGTTCACTGCTGTGTGTGTGCACTTTGGATGGGTTAAATGCAGAGCACTAATTCCAAGTATGGGTTACCATACTTGGCCACATGTCACGTCACGTCACTCACTGAAAAGCCACACTAGTAAAAGGTGAATTATATAAACAAAACATTAATTTGCACATCAGATAGCATGTTAAGTTTGTTTGAATTTAAACCAAACTGCACATCCTATTCCAGAGAGGTGTGTGAGAGTTCTGTTCTGCTGAATTTGAAGAAGCGGTTTCATCGGGATTCAATTTATGTATGCATAACCTTTTCCAGAAAATCAAATGTGTTATTTTTCACATTCAGTTGTCTTTTTAACTTTATTAAAACTATTTATTAAAACCAACAGACATATATTGGTGATATGCTGCTGTCCATCAACCCCTTCAAGCCTCTCAGCATCTACACTGAGGATCTGAGACAGCAGTACCAGGGTAAAGAAAAGCACAGTAATCCACCGTGAGTGCTTTCACCTATGACGATTCAAGCAGTGTTTGGCTGTAGATGATGTTTTTTTATTTGCTTTTTATTTGAGAAGAGTTTAACAGTCATTTTGAAAGACAATTTTTTTTTATTGTCCCTGTAGTCATGTATATGCCATAGCAGATGCTGCCTTTTGCCAATCTCAGAATACCACCCAAGAGCACTGCATCATCATAAGGTGAGGATGATTATGGGTATGATTAATATGTATATACATTTACATATGCACACACTCTCAGAAAAAAATTGTACCTTTAGGAGGGACACAACAGCTTGTCACTGGGGCAGTAGCCTCAAAGGGACACCTAACGTCTTTACCCCTAAAGGGTTTGTAATAGTCATAGAGTACATGTTACTACCTTAAGTGTACATACTGTATTACTACTCTAAAGTACTAATATGCACCCTTTAGGGGCAAGAAAAGGTACAGTGGTGTCCCTTTGTGGGTACTCCCCCAGTGACAAGCTGTTGTACCCTTAAAGGTCAAATTTTTTGCTGACAGTGTGCATACACATACATCTACACATTTTCATATTTATTTAGACGTATGGTACACATACATATGCATACATAATGTAATGACTTTTCATTATTCATTACATATATGTATATACATATTCCTACTGTATATTATAAATTTGAATGAATGTGAATGTGTCAACAGTGGACAAAGTGGATCAGGCAAGACAGAGGCTGCAAAGCTCATTGTCCATTACCTGAGTTCCATGTATCAGGGCAGAAATGATAAATTACGCCAGGTACTGTAAATCAATTTATCGAGATATATGAAAAATTATGTTTTGCTCTCTTAAGATATTAACTCAAAAAGATAATCTCCCTCTCATTAGCCAATGGATGTTTTACCAGTTCTTGAGAGCTTTGGTAATGCAAAGACCATACTGAACAACAACTCCAGCCGATTTGGAAAGTACCTACACATCCACATACGCCAGTAAGTGTACTGCATGCTGTCTGTTTGATTTAAGGGGCAGAGAGCATTAAATGAGCATGATATGATCTCCCTTTATTTTGTCAGTGGTGTTGTTGTCGGGACGTCTTTGTCAAAATATCTCCTTGAGAAATCAAGAATCATCTTCCAGGTTAGATGTTTATTCATTAACTTGCCTTGCAGCTTAGTACACCTGCAAGGAATTGACTGAAACTGTGTTCCTTTAGGCTAAGGAGGAGAGAAACTACCATGTGTTTTATGAACTGTTGGCCGGGATGAATGAGTGGGACAAGCAGAATCTTTACCTGCAAGGAGCTGAAACGTACTTCTACCTCAACCAGGTAAAAGAAGAGCCCCATTATTTTATGATATTTGTCTAATATTTCTAATATTTATCTTTTAAATGCTTTTAAGGGCAGGGCTTGTGACCTACAAGGGAAGCATGACAAGCAAGACTTCCTGCTTTTGGTCCACTGCCTGGAGACCATTGGTTTACATGCTGATCAACTTGCAACCATTTGGGCCATTCTGTCATCGATCCTGCAGCTGGGCAACATTTGCTTCAGCTCCTATGAGGTGTGGATGCCTGGATTACCAGTTTTAGCTTTTAGGATCCTTAAAATGTGTATATGAAAAATTAGTCTTTAAGCCAAACTATGTTCATTTTTGTCCCCTCAAAAATTAGAGTGAATCGTTTGAGGTCGCCCGTATTTTTAGTGAAGCCGAAGCTCGGAGAGTGGGAAACCTCTTGCAGGTGTCCGCCGAGGCCTTACAGACGGTCATCACACACCGGGTGACTGTGAGCAACTCGTACACACTCTCACTCAAATACATGTTAATTTCTTCCCAAGATCTCGGAACTAAATTAATATTTTGGGTTCAGTATAATTTAAACATTGATAATAAGAAATGTTTCTGGAGCACAAATCATTTGACGCTGAAAATTCTTTTTGGCATTACAAGAATAAAAAAATTCTTTGGCATCACAGGAATAAATTATTTAAAATATTAAAACAGAAAAGAGATTTTAAACTGTAAAAAAAAAATCACAATATTACTGTTTTACTGTATTTTTTAAGAAATAAATGCATTTTTGGTGAGCATAAGAGACTTCTTTCAAAACCATGAAAAAATCTTACCAACCTCAAAATTTTGAACTGTAGTGCTTTTGTAAATTTCTGCCACAATATATATTCAACCCAGAATATTACTTTTAACACAACAGAAGTATCTCCTAAGAACACAGTAATTTTTTCCACAGGAAACAATTTATGATAGGATCTACTGCCCTCTATCTGTGGAAAGTGCCATTGAATCCAGGTTAGACAATGAAATGTTACTGAAATTATTAGATTAATTAATGTATTATATGCATTGACCCCTAAGGTAGCTGATGAATACTGACAGATTGCTCTTGATTCAGAGATGCCATTGCCAAGATGCTGTACTCTGTGCTGTTTGACTGGATTCTTGAACGCATCAATGAGTGGTTGATCCCCACAGAGATGGACAGCACTGTTGGAATTGTGGATATATACGGCTTTGAGGTATCCTGTCTCTCATTATGACCTTAAAGTGACAATTTTACTGTTAAATTTATTGTTGTCTTTTTAACATTTATATCTGAATCAAATGTGCATAGTTGCAATGAATCCCCACCTGTTAAGTGTGTCTAAAAAGTCTGTGGGAGAAAACTGAACAAAAATGCATTACAGGACCTGAGTGTGAACAGTTTTGAGCAGCTGTGCATAAACTTTGCCAACGAGCAGCTGCAACAGTTTGTGAACAAAGCTCTGGTGGCACAAGAGCAGGTCAGTGTGTGTCCTCATCAATCATATCGACAATTTATTCGAAGTTTAGAGGCCATTTATGAAAATATTAGTACCCTGAGGAGACTCTACCATTTGGACTTGATGGGAACATGTTTTAATATATATCTACCAATTCCAATGGGACCAGTAAATGTAATTCTTGAGATATCATACCATAAATATGGCTTCTCGGATACGTTTTTTTTTTTTATTGCCCTGGAAATAATGAATACTTCAGGGGACTGAAAAAAATAAATAAATAAAACAAGTGGTTGGCTGTGTGCGTTGTTGTTAGGAGGAATACAGCACAGAGCAGATCCAGTGGTATCCAATAATTCTGGAAGACTCTAATGGCTGTCTGGATCTTATCTCAGCACGGCCGTACGGAATCCTTCGCATCCTGGATGACCAGACTTGCCTTCCTCAAGTAACTTCACATTTCAGCTTCAATTTAGATATTTTAGTGATCTTAAAGGGGTCATATGATGCGATTTCAAGTTTTCCTTTCTCCAATCAGAGCAGACTGCGCTTGTCAAAGGAGGGGGCTTTGTTGAAAACGACGTGTTTGAGAGAGGCGGGGCATAGAGGACCTACAATAATGTACAGTATTTGAAAAATAATGTGTTTTTTGAACATTAAAGCATGTCAACATATTCTGTTACACCAAATACACAAAATAATGATCTTTAAAATAGCATCATATGACCCCTTTAAAGTCAATATTCATTTGAGTAATCTTATACTACACCGATGGATTTAGAATTAGTTTCTTTTTCTACGTATATGTGTCTAATATGATGTTTAAATATCATAAAACTTGAATTTCGACCAAAATGGCCTAGTGTTGATTCAAATGCAAATGATGTATACTACAATGGATTTATGGGCCACTTTTGCCTTTTTTTTTTGCCTTTCTCTTTTCTTTGGCTCTCTCCCTCTTTTTTGTCCCAGGCTACAGACCACACGTTCTTGCAGAAATGTCACTATCACCATGGCAACAGTCCCTACTACACCAAGCCCAAAATTCCTCTGCCAGTGTTCACAATATATCACTATGCAGGGGCTGTCACATACCAGGCAAGCCTGATCTGAGCATTCACAAAATGTTTTATTCATGCAGCATGATTGTTCTGATAGTTTTCCCAAGAATCTTTTGATTTCCATGACTAAAATACTTTTTTGGCAAAATTTTGGCTAAGATTTTTTTTTCTCCCTGCTCACCAGGTGCACAAATTTCTAAATAAAAATCATGACCAGTTTCGCCCAGAAGTATTAGAGCTTTTTGCCCGCAGTCATTTACAGGTAAATTCATCTAAGTTGTATTCATGGAAGCTCACTTCACATTGTCTTCAGTGATTTGTGATGTGTCAAGATTGCAAAGAAATACAATAACGTGTCCTCTATTATATATTCATGAGACTGTCAACACACCCAGACAAAACAAAAGAGTTAGGAACAACCCATATCATTTATGCAAGCTTTAGGTCTCATTAAGTTTTAAAGGACCAATGTTTGGAAACAAAAACCTGTAACAAGTAATTGGAGTGTTTTCTTGTCTGCACAGATAGTGTCGGGTCTCTTCCGGAAGGTTCAAGAGCGTTATGTCCAACAGAAAGAGCTAGGAAGAGCAAGAGGTTACCGGAACCAGATGTCAACTGTAGCTGCTCATTTCCAGCAGTCACTTATAGAGCTCACCACTCGTTTGGAGAGGTCAACAGATGTCACAAATATTTATTCTGCTATTTTTTGTATAAATGGACTGCTATGTATTTTATACACAGGGTATTTGGTATTGCCATTTGGCTTATGTAGTCGTCCAATGTGAGAATATGTGTAGATAATTTAATGTCTATTTATTCTCTGTGTTTTTTTTAGGTGTAAAACTACATTTATACGATGCTTTAAGCCAAACTATGTTAAGGTAATTTCAGCTGACACTGTATGTAATTAACATCTAATCTCTCTGTTTGTGAACCATTATGTTTAGAGTAAGCAAGCACAAATGCTGGATTGGTGGACATCAGTTTGGTGTTTTTGTGTGGTTTCAGCTTCCAGGCATATTTGATGTAGACTACATAACCACACAGCTAAGGCATGGAGGGATACTGGAGACCATTCACATACGAAAAGAAGGATTTCCTATTCGCATCCCTTTCGCTCTGTTCATGGAGAGGTAATACAATATGGCAGAATCTAGGACATCAAATACATTATTAGTGGTTTAACAATCATACGTTGTTATCATACTTGTGTGTGTTTGTAATTATATTTATTCCATGCCTGAAAATAACATTTATATTTTTTTATTGTCCTATTGTTTTATTATATATGTGTATAATTATAATGATTATATCATTTAATTATTTTCCGAGGTGTAAAATCTTTAAAATTCATGGAAAATTCATGTAATTCCATTGGTCAAAATGTGTGTGAACCCTGAGTATAGGTACATCAATCAGAATTGAGTAAGAACTCATGCAACGCTACACTGTCTCTTCCTCTATAAAATCTCCACTATCTTTATCGGTGAGTTTCAACTACATTTTTCTATCACTGTTTATGTCTAATTTCAGATATGGCGTATTATTGGCCCAGAGACCTGCACACCAGTCTTGTAAAGAGCAAGTAGTGACTTTACTGGAGACTATAGGAGCAGAGGAAGGCCATTACCAACTAGGACTCACTAAAGTACAGTAACATAACTCTTTACCTCAGCCTGGGTTATTCTGACTCGTTCATTTACTACATTAACTCTAAAGATCCCACCCTCAAATGATTCCCTTTAATGTGAACACACACAGGTGTTTATGAAGGAGAGTCTGTACCAGCGGGTGGAGGAGAAATGGAGTAGCACTCAAACATGGGCGGCAGTCACCATCCAGAGGAATATTCGCGGCTTCATCTGCCGAAGAAACTTCCGTTTCTTTAAACAGAAGGCTATCGTCATCCAGTCCCACATCAGGGGCCACCAGGCCCGGTATTTGTGAAGCGATTTCATATTTGATAAACTCTGAGAGCATGATAAAAACAGAAGAGAGTCTAATGTGATTCTGAATGTGAAGGTGTGGCGCCCTTTTTCTGTTACAGGAAGTACTACAAGAAATTGAAGCAGTCCTTCACCCAGTTTTGGGCAGCTATGATGATCACCAGAAACACCATCAAGAAACGTCATTGGAAGGTGAGAGCTTTTAGCTCTCCCTCTATCTGTCTCTAGCTCTTCCCATCCTTCTCCCCAATGTGTCTGTGGCTTCTTCTTGGCTTGGTCTTTATACAAATGCACACACTTCACTATATCAGCTGTTTACCGATATGGTCCATTGCTAGGCAACCAAAACTACTTCATTAATATGTGACAGTTAATACGATTCCAGCCTCACTCCTCCCATTCTAAATAATGGATTATTATATTAATCATTAAATTAATTAATGTCATCCGGTTTTATATTTTATTATCTAATGCAATGACAGTCAAATACATTTCCAAGTTAGTCATATGTGTCTCAAGAGCCACTGCTTATTGGTTGCTGTTTCCTTACATTACGGGCAGATTGTGAACTTGCATCATAAATTATGAGTCTTATAATATATTTTACTCTTTGAAAGGACTTTGGACCCGTTTGTGTGCTGAGTGAATTTATGAGATTGTGACATTCAGTTTATCGCTCTTAGAATGGCACCCATTTCCTATTACTCAACCTCTATAGGAAAATAATTCAAATTTCATTTCAAATTAAATAAAAAAGTGTGGTGCTTTTCATTCATTTTTTATTAATTTCTTGTAAAAAAACAAACAAACAAATAACTACACATTATGCAAAAATAAAAAATCCACTATGAATAGAATTATGTTTATTTTCTGATTCATGTAGCATGTTTGATCTCTAGTGCGTCATGGCCAATTTAAGAGTGTGTACACATATAAGAAATGTCAGAGTTAGGTGAAGTGAGCTCCACCCGCCCGCCTGCCCTTTCATCTTTGATCCTAGATTCTCTCTCTTTTCCCCTCACTTTCTTTCTCTCATTCCTGCAAAGTCCCACCTAAGCACCACTTCTCTTGTGTTTGGATTTCAACTAATTTCATCAGTTAAAGAGCACTTTACATGGGGACGGCTACGTTTGTTTTAATATCATCCTAGGTAGGTAGTGTTTAATATTTATCCATATTACACATGCTAATAGCAAACAGAAAGATTAATGATACAGAGAGAATTCAGGGCAGAAAATAAGAAAGAGATTATATCAGTAATATAAGACTTTAAGATTTGTTTAATGTGATCTTATATGTTGGAAAAAGATTTTAAATGTACATCTGAAAGGTTCTTTTTTTTACACTTTACACTACCAGTCAAAATTGTTATACTTAAAAAAAATGTATACTTATAATGATATACTTAATCAATATTATTACTATTTTCAATATTGTAGAATAATGTTACAGTTTTTAAACTATTAGAAAACACAAATGGATATATGGGAATTATGTTAAAATATTCTAGATGACAACTCTTCACATGCTCTCTCAGCATCATGGGATGTTTTTAAATGGTTCCCATGTATGCTGGACACCTATTGGTCGCTTTTCTCTGAGGTCCAAATCATCTGTTAAAAAGAATATGAATAAAAATGTTAGTTTTGTAAACAAATTCAATTTAAATTTATCAACAAAAAAAAAACTGATTTCAAGCATTTAAGCAATTATTATGTTCATCAGAAGCATAAAGTCAGTCCAAACCTTTGACTGGTAGTGAGTTATATTTAAATGATCCACTAAGTTATATAACCTGCTACTTTCAGTTCTGTTTCCTTGTTACCCATCATTGTTTTATACAGTTTGGACTATGTCCTCCTCAGCTGTCATGTACTCTGCTGTCAAATCACTTTGAAGTAATTGTTATGCACTTGTGGTAAGACTGGTTTGTGACGTGATCCTCCTCATTCAGTGGGTTAAGCAGCTTTGTGTATATTTTGTATGATTATATTTTTGCTTGTCCAATAAAAGTTAATTTATTTAGTATAAAAGTGGTTTGCTGGAATAGGCAAAAAGTATCTGGTGGCAACACTCCAGAATACTCCCAGATTTGTTTCTACAACATGTAAAAATCAGTGGCCTTATTTTCTACACACTGCTTTCTGGTAACAATCATACACAAAACAGAAAAGGCCAATCAAGCACAATGATAATACTAAATGATAAGATAAAAATGGGTTTGATGACTCATATTTCATGTAATTCTTTTGTTTGGGGAGGAGCGAGTCGAGGGAGGGTCTTCCTAGGATATAAAAGAAGGCCAGCTGCTAAGAATAGTACTGTTTACCTTTGCATACGATGCCGTGGACAGGTAATAGAATAAAAGAATGGAATAGCTTTACAAAATAAATGTCCCATTGTTCAGTCAAGAAGGAATGAAACACTACAATATGCAAATGGACAGAGGGTGGCTTAATATTAAACTTTTTTTTTTTTATCTTAGATTGTGTTTTTGATTGTATTTTGATTTGATCAGGAACATACTGATAGAACCAGAGTGAAGGAAGCAGCAAAACCTACATCTTCCTCTTCAGAGATGGTGAGACACTCTGAATCTTTTCATTTTTATAGATTTTTTTATTTTCTTTTGTTTTGACCTGTGTGCTCAAGGTCTTTGAGTATCTGATTTGTATGGACTTGGACATAATTTAAAGGGGTCATATGACGTTGCTAAAAAGAACATTATTTTGTGTATTTGGTGTAATGCAATGTGTTTATGCGGTTTAAGGTAAAAAAAACACATTATTTTCCACATACTGTACATTATTGTTTCTCCTCTATGCCCCGCCTTTCTGAAACGCGTCGATTTTTACAAAGCTCATCGTTCTGAAAAGCGAGGTGTGCTCTGATTGGCCAGCTATCCAGTGCGTTGTGATTGGCCGAATACCTCAAGCGTGTGACGGAAATGTTACGCCCCTCACCATACTGTGATGCCCTGTGTCCCGGTGCGACGAGACAAAAACAATAAAACCCATTACAAACTAGGCATTTGTTGCATTCAGTGGGGACATAATTACTGATTCTAAAGACTTATATTGTCTTTTTTACGCATTGCGTTGCGTATCGCGCTGCGTAAACATAAAACCATGTCTGGAGAAACGACAAACTACAAGTGCTACTCTACACTGCTCAAAACTCGCGTTTGAATCATCAGTGGCAAATCCTTTAAATGAAAACGTACTTACAGT